AACCATAAATACTTAAAATGCTTTTCCTTTTTCACCTTAGTCGCTGCTGCTATAGCTGGTTGTTGTTGGGCCTGCTGCGACTGTTGCTCCTTTTTCTTTTTGAAGCAAACATCTACAGTGTGGCCGCGTAACCTGCAAAGCGAGCACCTTTTTGGCCCTTCCACAGATACGTTTTTATCGATAGATGCGATTGTAAGCTGCTTTGCTTCAGCCAAAATCATTTCTGCATCCCGACAATTTGATATTAATTCGTCGAACGTCGAAACTTTATCGCGACGCACTCGCTCTCTTATCTTGATAGACAATAGACCGTACGTCATATTGAGCTGCACTGCTTCGCTTATGGGATCACTCAACTGCGAAAACAGTAGTCGCTTCTTACATATGAAGCTGTCGGTAGCTTCACGCGTTTGTTGCTTTTGCTCGAAAATTTTTATGTAAATTTTCCAATCGGGCATTGGCGGAGAAAATGTTGTGCGGATTATCTCAACTGCTTCCTCAAAGGTCGCGACAGTGCCCTTCACACCGATCCACCAGGTCGCTGCGTACTCCTCCAGCAGAAGTGGCATACCGCGCAAGGCATCTGCGTCAGAAATTCTTTCGATGTCCTTGTAAACTGAGATCGCTGCAATGAATTCTTCCACTGCCGATGGATCGCGTTGTCCACGGAAACGTGCTGTGCATTGGGTAAAAGACACGCATTTATTGCCGCCTGCGATCGCTGCCAAAATTTGCGTGAATTGATCAGGCGAAAACGTAGCCATTTTGTTTTCTTCGCCTATGATTTCGCGTTCTTCTTTTGAATTGCTGGCCTCTAAGTTGGGCGCCAATGTATCGCTCTTGCTTGCGCTTCGTAAAAAATAAGACATACACGCGGGAACGCTAAACAGCAATTCGAGTAAAAGACACGAACAATACACATGTACAAAAAAATCACCTTCGGGTTTGTTTCAAAGCAAAGCACTGTCCGAAGCAATACCGGACGAGAGACCTTACTTGGCGCAAGCTCGAAGCCGATTGAAATTTAAAGATCAGCAACGCGACTTATATACTCCACAGAGCAACAAGAGCTACTGTAAGTGTTGCTACGAACTGAACAAGTAGTAGGTTTAATTGTATTTACAAAACACCGCTAGGTTGCATTTTCTAGCCTATGTTAAACGATCTATTACAATATAAGTCGGTGTTTACATTGATGCACAAACAAACAATAGTATATGATTTGAACGATTAGAAAAACGTATAATAAACAAAATATGAGATCGCTTCAGTCTCCCCCTAGGATGCTGAAAATCGACCCGATGAGGCATCCTTCTAAGTGGTCCTTCGGGGACGTCCTCGGCGTCGGATCCTGTTAACTGGCTCTTCGGAAGCTTTCTTGGTTACGTCTTCGTGGATTGGTGAGGGCTTTGTTGGCGTCTTGCTGTCTGAGTTCAAATTCACGAGCAGATGCGAACACCTCAGCAAGAGTGCTTAAGTATGGCGTGATTTCCGCAATAAAGTTTTCGGAGTGAATAACAGCTCTCAAGTCGTGCTGAATGTCATCAATAGTTCTCAGCTCGCGGCCAAAAGTTAGATAAGCAGTGTAACCAGTGCCTTGGCAGCGAGTGGTGTTCATGGCGAAGCGTATGGCTGGCAACTTCTCTGCCCAGTCTCGATGCTGCTTTCCAACCAATATCGCCAACTGTGTCTTTAGATCACGGTTCTTCCTTTCAACGGGGTTTGCTTGTGGATGGTAAACAGGCGTAAACACTTGGTCTATGTTGAGGCAAAAGCAAACCTTCTGCATCACTGAGGATACAAATTGGACTCCGTTGTCGCTGATGACCTTCCTCGGGACTCCATAGCGCAGAATTACTTCGTCGATTAGCAGTTTTGCACAGTTTTCGGCGGTAGCTTCGGTTAATGCAAAAAGCTCCACCCAGCGGCTGGCGATGTCTTCTGCGATGAAGATCCATTGTAGCCCATTTGCGTCGGGGGGTAATGGTCCAAACAAATCGATAGCAATTGCTTCAAAACGCTGTTTGCTCGATACCGTTTGATATAACCCCATTGGCTTTAAGTTAGTGGCCTTGTAGCGCTGGCAGTCAATGCAATTTTTGACGTCGGTTTCGATGTCCTTCCGGATACCAGGCCAATAGTAGCGTGAAGTAATCTTGTAGGAAGTTCGGTCAATTCCATAATGACCTGCTGTGTCCTTATTATGATAATGGTCCAATATGGCTGGACGCTCATTTTTAGGGATAACCAGTTGCGCGTCTTCATTGTCTTCGTCGTGGTAACAGAAGAGTACTCCATCGTTCATAGTATACCCTCTTTTGGCCCAATACGCGGCGTCATCTGTCTTCCTTTCGAAACAGTCGATGATAGCTCTCAACTCTGGATCACCAAGTTGGCCTTCTCGAATCTCTTTCGCTCCTCGTCGCGGTAGTTCCACATCAAAAGAGCATATATGAAAGAGTTCGTCTGTGTCATGCTTTCCTTCGCAAGGTGGCCTTGATAGCATGTCCGCCACTACGTTGGTCTTTCCCGGTTTGTAATCGATTTTTATGTTGTACGGCTGTAGGATTAATGCCCATCGAGCTAGACGTCCAGTTGGTGATTTAAGTGTCATTAACCACTTCAACGGTCGGTGATCCGTAATGAGAGTTACCTCGGATCCTTCGATATAACCACGATATTTCTGTACGGCCCACATGATGGCTAAGGCTTCTCGCTCGATTGTGGAGTAATTTTGTTCAGCCTTGGACAGTAGTCTACTGGCATATTCAATAGGGTGCTCATCTGGACCCTCCCCCTGGAGTAGAACTGCCCCAAGTGCATATCCACTGGCATCAGTCTTCAGGATGAATGGCAGGCTTTCGTCAACTTGCTTCAAAATGGGTGATGTCGTCAGGAGTTGTTTCAGCTCATCAAATGCTGATTGTTGCTTATCTGTCCACGACCAGATAGAGTTCTTCTTCGTTAGTTGGGATAGTGGCTTCGCAATATCCGCAAATTGAGGCACGAAACGCCTATACCAGGAGCAAGCTTGAAGGAATGATAGCAGCTCCTTAACGTTTTTTGGTGGTTTGCGCGATGTTATCGATGCAACCTTCTGTGGGTCGACCATGATGCCATTTGGAGTCAAAATATGCCCCAAGTACTTAACTTCGTGGCATGCAAAGCGACACTTGTCGATGTTAGCCTTAAGACCAAATTGGCGTAAGCGATTTAGAAGTCGGTTGAGCTCTTCCACGTGCTCTTCAAAGTTCTTTGAGCACAAAATTATATCGTCTAAGTACGCAACTAAGACTAGGTCATTTCGTGATATTTTAAGACGATCGATTAAGCGTTGAAATGTCGCTGGCGCGTTTCGTAAACCAAAGGGCATGCGAGTAAATTTGTACATCCCGAATGGCGTGACGAATGCGGTTTTTTCCTGGTCCTCCTTCTCAACACCAACTTGCCAATAACCAGACTGCAAATCCAAAGTTGACATGAAATTTGTGGCTTTTGCGGCATGCAGTAAGTCGTCAACACGAGGCAACGGGTACCTATCTGCCTTAGTTATGGCGTTTAGTTCTCTCTAGTCAATACAGATGCGTACTCCACCTGTCTTTATCGGAACTATTACTACAGGAGCTGCCCATGGTGATTCGCACTCAACAATAACTCCTGTTTATAGCATTTTACCAACTTCGTATTTTAGCTGTTCTTTGCGTTGTGGCGATATACGATATGGAGGCAAAGCGATTGGAAGATGTTCGCCAGTATCGATACGGTGTGTGGCTAATGGTGTTGTCGAGGTTGGCTCCTCGAACACGTCAGCGTTCTTGGATAATAGTGCATCTAACTCCGCTTTCTGCTCCGTTGTTAGGCTGCAATCGGTTTTCCGGTGCTCATTAAATTCGAACATGTTCAGAGAAAAGAAATTCTCGGCAACAAATTTCTCGAAGTCTTCGAGTGGTTTCTTCACTTTCATAGGTGGTGCGAACAGCCGAGATGTATTTTCGGGAGTTATTTGTCCAACCGGTAATGCACTTCTAAAAATGTCCTGCACGGCGTGTGGTGAATAATCATTTCGATGCGACCGTTTACCTTTAGCGGCTGGCCCGTAGTTAGTTTCGGGGCAAGTTTCCGGAGAATCATCATCTGTCGCATTTTCACCGCACTTATCGATGTATCGCAGAAAGTTTGAATATTCATTCAAAGCCTTAATGGAGGGTGACTGTTGGTAACTCGTCACCACGTGTGCACCAGCGATATCCATAGCGAATATTTGACTGCCATCGCTAGGTTTAGCAAAATCATATTTCACCTTTGGCTCGTCTTCAAAATACCAGAATCTTTGTGCCAGATTCAGGACGATTCCCGCCTGCTCCATGAAGTCTGCTCCGATAAGCGTACGATTTTTCGTGGCGTTTGGTAGGGATACCAACCGAATTTTCCTCACCCTGTTGCCAATTTTTATCTCGCAAATAGTGGATAGTACCCTTTGCATAGTGGTGGTGCCATCTGCCAAGGAGACGTCTGCCATGACATCTTGAAATACGCACCCCTTGCTACTAAGGATTTTAAATTTACGCAGGCAACGCTCGTTTTCGCCCCTGTGTCGAATAAAGCTTCACCTTTCATTCCTCGGACCTCTGTGTTGGTCCGATTCTGTTCCTGATATTCATTAATGATATTTCTTCTATA